GTGTGTGTGTGTGTGTGTGTGTGTGTGTGTGTGTGTGTGTGTGTGTGTGTTTAGGTTTATTGTAAGGACCCACTGTCTGTTTATTGATTATCTGTTTAGGAGTTTGTGGCACATTGATGTCCAGAGTGGGACGCCTTCTGAAGAGCATGATGTCACACCAAAAGGATCAATAAACAGTGAACAGTGCATGTACAACTGACTAAATGTGAAATAAATAATACAGAAATACTACTAAAAGTAAAAGTAAGACAGTTTTACTGACTGTTCAGTTGTGGTATTTGCCATCCTGAATTCTGAACTCTGCACTTTCTGACAGGGAATTCCCACTGGAGGGGGCATTCTAGTTTAAATTAACGACTTGTAAGTAGGAATTTCCTACTTCCCGTTACAACTGGGCTGCAGGAAAAGTGGTTCACAAAAATGCAGCAGAATAGCCTATATGCCACGGTCACGGTTTGACGTATTTCCGGTAAAATTTTTGCCACGCTCCTCCCTTCCACTCCCTGCTTACTGCCTATGTTTTTACCGTTAACTCCTAGTACTAGTCCGTGAAGAGGTCACAAAAGTTAAAGCATCTGTGATCTACTGGTATAAAATGTGTCCACTAACCAGCAGGTACGATCAAGTCGTTAGTTTTTCTCCTTTAGATGAGGAGGTGACAGCAGAGGATCATAGCAATACAAGGAAAACTTATCTTTAAAAGCTCACGCTTGCATTTGTAATCGGCATTTCTAACCTGAGGATATTCAAGAGTRAGCATCAGAAATGAGAAGACGGAGGTTACAAAAGGGAAATGTACATTTATCCCCTTTTACTGCCAAGACTGGAGAGGAAAGACCACCTCTACACGACAGCTAGCAGGAAGCTAACACAGCAGCCGGTACAAAGGTAGGTGTGTGTGCCCGCGCGTTTGTGTTATATGAAATGTTTTATGCGACTTTGTCATGAGTTTTATGCAAAAGTAAAACCTTGTTAGAGAGTATATTACAGCGTAGACTAAAGCCGAGTGACGAGCGCCCAGCAGAACCTCCACCTGATAATCATTACATTTTCAGTTCACTAACGTCGGGGAAAACGATCCAAGCCAAACAAGTAGCCCATCAATTTAAAGCGCAGACTCTGCTCTTTCCAACAATATAAGTGTCACAGCTCTACGTGAAWAATTCACGGAACAAGCAGCCACGGGATAYCAAAAAAGGCTAAATTCTGGAACCATGAACACAAACGTCTTTCCTTTGTTTTTATGGCTTTAATCCACTTTGGAGTGATTTTGTCCCACTTGGCTGGACCTGTACGTCTCCTGTGTTTATGTTGGTACATGTAATATGCTAATTCTGTACTGTGGAGATCATTAAGAGTCGTTGTCGGGTGAAAAAATCTTTCGCTAACGCAGTGTTGACCGTGAACCGGAAGTGCTGGGAGTGGCATCCAGTGCTGGGCCGGATGTCCGTGGCATATAGGCAATGAAGATTTTCMTTCGACCTTGTGCACCTCCACCTAGTGGTAGGAATCTGTCATTTTGCTGGTAACATAATCAACAGGCATTTTGTGAGATGCAGTTTATGYTCAGTGCTGGCTTTTAAACGTCACAGACATGTTTGAAGTTCTCACAGGCCACATAAAAAGCTGTGGCGGTGCCACATTTGGCCGGCAGGCCTTGAGTTTAAAATGTGTCTTAGATAATTTGGACATTCAAAGCTGGTGGTTTTTTTATTGTGCTGTTAAATAGGATTTTTAGCACAAAATGCAATACTACTGACACTTTGACTATTGTYTTTTGTAAAACTAAAGCCATAAAATCATATTTGTCTTAAGAAATTTTAAAGTAACACAAATGTTTACAGAATTTTGCCACTCTGAACACTTTACAACTAAAAGCAGCAGGATTTTTGCGGTTTGGTTCTTCTCTTGTGGTATTTTAAAAATGACTTTCTTCATAGTAAGAAGAGGAACCTTTATAAGGTTGTTTATTTATTTCACCCCTGCTGTTTTAATRGTAGTTTTCAAGCTATTATCCAGCCGCCGTTTCCAGTTCGACCAGCAGAGGGAGCCAGACACAAGGTTGGATATGATTTGCTGCGCCCAGTCCAGAGTCGTGATCTGTTCAGAAGAATCACACAAACATGAACTTTTCTAATCACGTGTTGTGGTGAAAATATGGTATCAGTTACGCATAAAAGCCTCAATATGTTTCATAAAACTGAACACCTGAAAATGAATGTGTAAATGACATTTCAAGCATTTGTTTTACGCCCAACATCTGCTTTACAACCTCATCAATAAGCACACAAATGCAAAGATGGCAAAAATTAGAGAGAACTTTCCCCTTTTTTTTAATAATTGCCAAGCAGCATTTAATTCAGAACACAACGGCATAAAGCCAAAGAACTGTTGGGCTACAGGTGATAGCAACAGTCTGTGCAACAAAAAAAAGGTTACGACTCCACGTTTAAAACAAGAGCACGCWGAAATAGTGACATGGTTGAGAGAAAAACAGAACAAAAAAAGACAAATATACAAAGTTTTGAAGATAATAAACACTGAATATCTGGTGCCCTTTGACCACCGAACTGTGGGCAACATTCGAGTTTGTCAAAAAAAAACATGCAAATCTTTGCCTACAGAAACACAGAGTAAATAGATTACATGTGGATATTATCTCATACACAACAAATATGTGTGTATATGTATTTTACCTCCTTGTATGTTACAGGTGTTAGAAATGTGCATAATCTTTTAGGAATTTTGTCTGTTTGGTCCAGCTTTAAGACTGCACACAGTCAGTAAACATGTTTATAGGAGAATATCTGGAAATATGTCATGTAAGGTCATTATCATGTAGATTTTCTTTTTTTCTCTCTCCCACCAGCAAACACACATACGAGGTAGAGCAGGATTACAAATATCAAACACGCTGAAGGCAACTGTTCTTCATTTATCGAATGTATCAGTTGCTGATTGTGTTTCTGTCTCTAGATAACAGTGATTTTCTATTTGGTGTTTTCCACTTTAGGGATAAATAATAATAATAATAATAATAATAATAATAATAATAATAATAATAATAATAATAATAATATTCACTAGCCGATAGCTCAGTCAGAGTCCCAATATTCAGACTGTAACATAATATTCTACCACGTATGCATATATAATAACAATCCTACTGACATTTTTTAAAATGCTGATTAGTAACACGGAGTCTGGCCGACGTGGCTTGGCATTCATCCTGCAGAATAGCACACATCTGGGCTACACTACGTTTAGATAAACCAACATGGAGACAGTCTGTGGAGCTTATATGCTGGTCTGTAGCCCGGCTGGAGGTCTAGTGCACTTGGACCTCGTGTGGCAGCAGCTGGCAGCCGCTGTTGACATGGGTGAGGACTTTCTGCTTCAGCTGGGCCACTTGCTCCCTCAGCAGGCTGGCCGTCGACGCCAGGTCGGTGTTCTGGCTCTTCAGCGTTTTGACCTTGTCCTCCAGCCTGGAGATCCGCTCCAGTTTGCGCCTCCGACACTTGGAGGCTGCGATCCGGTTCCTCAGCCTCTTCCTCTCGGCTTTGATGCGCTCCTGCGTGTCCATGTCGACGGGTGAAAGCGGCGGGCTTTCCCCGAAACTCTGCACGTCGGGGACGGTCTGAGGCTCCTCCTTTAGCGGCTCCGGCTGCTGCAGCGGGGCTGCCCCCAGGTGGTGTGACGGAGGAGGCGGGAAAGGAACCGTGTCCGTGGAGTAGTTGACCGTGGTCACCAGCGGGCCACTGCCGTAACTGTTCAGGTTTGTGTAGACCGGCAAGTCCGGCTGTACGGCGACCGGAGCGACGTTGGCGCCCAGGTCCAGYCTGCTGCTGGTCTGGCCGGTCCCGTTCAGCTGGTTCTGCTTGTGCAGGTCCTCCAACGCCTTGACGAAGCCCTCGGCGAATTCCTGCTCATCCGTCACCGTCTTCGGGTAGAGGAACTGGGAGCTGGTCGGTGTAGTGGTGACCATCCCATTGGACTGGATGATTAGCCTCTCCAGCTCCGGAGAGGCCAGTTTGAGAAGCCCCAAGTCCGGGGAGTTGAGGATGCTCTCGGCGTCGCGGAGGTGCGGTTTGAGCTCCGCGTCGTCCGCCAGGGTCAAGTTAATATCCTTCTTCATCATTATTTCCGCGCGGAGAAACGATACGGCAGCCTGCTCGACGCTAGCTCACAGCGACGTCCTGTCCATAACCTCAGAAAAACAGCCTGCGGTGAGAAGCCTGCTGTCCCCGAGCACAGGTGACGGACGGTCTCCCTCTGTTCTACCGAAACCGAGTGTTCGCTCGTGCGTACAGCCTCGAGCTTTTTTACTGGTACGTTCCATTGTGTCACGTCAGAGCACGCACATTAAAATTACGTTTTCATTCAAAGAGAGGGGAGAATAAAAGAGGTATCACTGTGTACTTTTTTCCGGAACCAACACAATAAATACATTTTTACTGACTATTCTTTTTCTAGTGCTATTTTGCATTTTTTTTGTGGGTTTACGATAAGAAAATGTTGGCGTTGTCTGCATTTGGAGTAGTTATTATTTCATGTAGCGATAAACACTGATATTACCACTGCAAAAGATATTTTAGTTTTATTTTGGGAAAATAAATTATGACAGTTTTTAGAGTAACCTCTTCAAACCTATCTGAAGCAACATTTCAGGTATCGTTTCTAACTGATCTCCTAGGGTAGTCAGTGTTTCTTGTTATAATCTTATTATTTTGCAAGTAATATTTATGTCACTTTTACCGCACATTTTGTTTGTCAYCACACACAGAAACCTAACTAGACCCTACAACTTTTTATATTATATTCTCAAAAATAAAACACAAACCAAAGTATTTATATGAATCTTAACTAATGTGTTTTGAGGAAGGAAGACATAAACTATCCAGAACTGTTTATAGTTGTGATCCAGTAATTGTCAGGCAAATTAAACAAAATACAAGTAAACATACAACAGAAAAAAATAAATTATGGTCACTAAATTTCATGTCAGCCAGATAAAATGGCATACTTCTTTATTGGAAATGTTGCTTCGGCCTTTTGAAAGGAAGCTTTCTTGACACCTAAACCACAGGCTAGCAGGTGGTCTTTAGGGGTTTACCCAAAACACAAGAAACACACCTACAGTATAACAAATGCAGCATCACTTCTAACACATACACTTAGCCCATTCACGTGATTTGAACGGAAGCTACTCAGTTTACTATAAACTATCAGTGCTGTACACCCAAGATCAAGAATGAACTTGTACTTTTTTTGCACAGTTATGCTGTTTGTCAATAGACGATCTTCGGCCACAGTTTTGTTGCCATGGCAAGGAGGAAAAAAGGACAAACACCGAGGAGCTGCTTAGAAATGCCATGATGGTGAGCTTTGGCTGTAATAAAGTCTGAGAAGTTCTAAAACATGTTTTCACCATCTTCAAAAACAGATTTACATTTAAAGGAACAGTCTGTCAACTAAACAGCTCAGGTTGTGTTAATTCACAACAAAGTAATACAGAAATCCAGTAAAATACAGTTCAGCCCAACTATGAAAAAACAATTAAATAATGAGCTTTATTGTCCATAACATATCATGAAATGAAAACTTGTCTTGGACATCTGGCTCATAATTTTAACAGGTTAAAAAATGCAGTAATTGAACTTGGAAACATTGTAAAAACAGACATAAGAGCAGAAAAAAACATTGGTAGAAATAAAAACATCACAGCACACTGARTGTCTTTTTTAGGGCTATGTTTAACGATCTTGTCTGGTGGTCATGGCAGAGAGAACAATGAATTTTTGTGGACTGAGTCATTGTAAACCTGGATTGCCTTTTGTTCCAGAGTCTTATTATACATGTGTGAGTTGCATTTGCTTATGAGCGATTATTTTACCAGCCTGTTTGACCACCTGGGACAACGTGTTCCTATCCCTGGCTTGGAGGTTCCCATACTATAATGAGACCACATGGAAGGAAACACCTTCAACAAGTGACCTGTGCACCAATCCCAGGCTGTGTTTGCTGGCATTAAAGCTCCTTAGCTTACGTAGGAGATGTAGATGCTTTTTTTTTTGTAAAACAGTCAACATTGGGGGGCTTAAAGGCCAAATTATTGTCAACAATTGTTCCAAGAAATTTGAATTAAGTCAACCTGCTCCACTTCCTGCCCTTTTAGGATAGAACATCAGAATGCTGGTCTTGTGCTACCCTTAGCAAAAAGTACTTTGTAAGTTAATTTCAATAAGTAGACTTGGTTTAAGTATATCAAGTATACTAGGCACCATGTACCCTAGTGTACTAGAAAGTATACAGATTTTATACTTGTTTGTACTAAATTGGGACTTTTTTCATTTATAAAAAGTATACTTTAAGTGTACTGTTATAATGTCTTAGTATARTTTAAGTACATGTCATTAAGTATACTAAAGTATGTAAAAGTGTATTTCCATAAGTGGACTTTTATTTACCATGTACATTGATATAAGTGGCAGTTAACTAACAAATACTTCTAGTACTGAATGGGCCCACAATAAGTTTATGTAAATATACTCAGAAGTACACTGAAAGTAATCTTCCAAGTATACTTTTAGTTAAATCTTGAAATCTACTACAAATAAACCAGGCTGTGTGAAAATGTACTTCCAGTGTACTACCAAAGTTTATCTTAGCCAAAATGTGAAACATTAGTATAGACTAAGTATTCTTAAACTTTTAGTATACTTTTAGTACAAGTCAAGTATAGTGTAAGATAAACTTGGTTAAGTATCAGATACAGTAAGTACATAAAAAAGTAAACTGGAAGTATACTCTTATTTTATTTATTTTTGTTTGAAATTAGTATACTTAAAGGATACTTGCATGTGCTACTTTTTGCACAGGGTAAGTGCTCCATATATACCTCCCAGGTAAGGTTTCCTGATTTTATTGACATTACGATACGGAAAATTGTCATCAAACTTGTCAGAGAGATGAGCTGGGAGTAGAGGGGCCGATCAGACCATCAGTCAGGACATATTGACCTTTTTACAGATAATATGCACCATGTGGTCAAACACATTCATAACTACTTCTGTTAATCAAGGTTGGCGTTCAACTCCAGTCTTTTACTTTACACCTGAATTTATGTTTACTTTTATTTACAAATATTTTTCTAAATTTGTTTTATTGGGTTTTTAAGTTGTGACAGAGAAATGTCTTCATCATGCAATGTTGCCACATGTAAGAATGTCTGCGGAGTACAGCCGTAACAAAGATAGATATAAACACTATTTTAGACTAAAAGAATAAAGAATAAAAGAATAATAAAAAAGAATAAAAGTGGAACTAACACACAATCCTGTGGAACTCCAGTGTTCAAGTATGGTCTTCATTTTTAATTTTAGTTTTAAATTGATAGATTACAGGATTTAACAAATCACAGTTTTCATTAATTTTTTTTCCACAACAGAATGTTGTCCTGGAGCTAAACTGCTGCTATAAAAAAGTAACATGTCTGTGGTCAGAGTTGATGCTGGCCCAGAAAAGACTTTTCACTTCTCCTTTAAGGCTCCAGAAAGGCTCTGCATTTCTTGACATCCAAAAGGTTTGGGGAAGTTAAATCTGAGACAGGTTTGGTTTCAACATTTCCTTTGGTAAGTCAACAGGTTTCTTTGGTTTTTAGGGGTTTGAGCTGGTCTTAGACCAAACCTTGTTAATTGTAAGTTTCTGTTTTAAAGTTTTACAAATTTGCTGCCCAGTTTTGACTCTGTAAAATAACATAAAATTTAAAATATTTTTTGCCCACTTGAGTGATTCCAAACTATCCGATAGGTGTGTTTAACACTGACTTTTTTTATTTGAATAAAGAATATGTCCTTGACTGTGTACACATATAATCTAAATTACAGAGAATGTGCTCATTGATATGGGGGGCAAGTTTAAAATAAAATGTAAAAAAAAGCCATAAACATATTTTCATTATTTAGTTCACTTTCTAAAAATTTCCACTAACATTTTATGGTTATTTTGTTCACTGTTCTAACATTTTGCTAATTGTTACTAAATGTTAGGTTTAAATGTTATGTCTAAACGTTAAATCTTAAATGTTGTAGTTAAATGTTGAAGTTTACATTTAGGAATTTTGGAATAAAGCAACCTTTGCCGTACATGCTCTGCTTTCCTTATCCCGAGACATTAGCAACCGCTAATTCTGCTAATGCTACTAACACTGCTGACACTTCCCTAGATGACATCAAACTTGCAGTTTTGTCCGGCTTCACTTCAAACTGCCGGACCACTGGTACCATCCAAATTGTTTCCAATGAACACATTTTTAAAAATTTAAATTTAAATGTCATTTTCGGCTGCATCATTAGCAGTGTTAGCGGTTACTTTCGTCACAGTAAGATGTCACACCAAAAGCTGAGCACCAACAGCAAACGCTGCGTTCTATTCTGAAATTCTTAAATGTAAGCTTTATCATTTAGCTGCAACGTTTAAGATCTAATTTTTACATTTAGACATTTAGATTTAGGATTTAATATCTACACACATTTTTCAACATTAAAATTTGACATTTAGTAAAAAAAATGGCAAAATGTAAAAACTGTGAGCTAAATAACAGTAAAACAGTGGAATTTTTTTTAATTAGGATTTTACATTTACATTTACAAGTAAGCTAAACAATAAAATTGTGTTAGTGACATTTTTTTATATTTTATTTTACACTTGGCACCCCATACACCACATTCTTTAAATTCCTTTAATTTATCAAGCCTTCATTTGTTTGCCTATTTTACTATGGGGTTTAAAACAAGCTTCTTCCTTTCGGGTGATCGTCACAATGTTGTTGCCTTCATTATTTCTCCAGTGTGTGCAGAGGAGGTTTGTGCATCACAGGTAGGCCCCATTCATCGCTGCAGAGCTCTGRGCGGGTGGATCACATGGTACACCCTGTGATGTCATATCTCTTAACACAGGCGGAAATGGAGGTGGRAATGTGTGTATGGGAGGGGAGGGGGGAGTAAAACCAGCAGAGGAGAGATATTCTTGTCTAAAAGCTGTTTTTCAGTGTAGGAGTGGAGATGCTGCTGAGCTTTTAGGCAGTAGTTAGAAAAGATGTATGAAAATCTCCACCACAGAAGCTCAATATGTCTATTTAATTTACCAATAATACAGAATATAAGCAACATACGTCTAGAGTGTGACTGGTACATCGTTACTCCATTCATGTGTTTTTCCTTATTTAGATATAGTCAAGTCATTATAGAAACACGTCAGAGGGAAACCCAGACCTCCCAGCAATCAAGTTCCTCCCAGTGGCCCAGAAAAAAAGGATGCCTGAAAAATCTCATCTGACTCATTGTGATCTGGAGGACAAGCATCAAGTTAAATGTATKTTTAAAGCTTCATTTAATTCATTCAGTACAGTAATTAAGAA